CTCAATTCTTTTGCATGGGAAATTAGGACTGATTTAATCTCTGGGACAGACTGACAGTGCTCAGGTCATCTTATAATTCTAAGCAACAGGTTCACTCCCATTATTCTTTCTCTTAGCAATAAGAACTGGACTTTTCAGGTGCCATTTTACAGAAACCTGCCAACAGAGCTGTGCTGGGAGGGGACTGTATGCATGCAGAAGGCAAGAACTCACAGGCAATGCACTGGAAAAGAATTTCACAGAATCATCTGTGTTGGAAAAGACCTTGAAGATCATCCAGTCCAACCATTAACCTAACACTGACTGTACTCAACTACACCATATCACTTCCCTGTCCCTGCTGGCCACACTATTGCTGACACAAGCCAGGATGCCATTGGCCTTCTTGGCCACCTGGGCACACTGCTGGCTCCTGTTCAGCCAGCTGTCAATCAACCCCCCCAGGTCCCTCTCTGACTGGCAGCTCTCCAGCCACTCCTCCCCAAGCCTGTAGCACTGCTGGGGGTTGTTGTGGCCCAAGGGCAGCCCCCGGCATTTGGCCTTATGGAAACTCCTCCAGTTGGGCTCAGCCCATGGCTCCAGCCTGTCCAGGTCTCTCTGCAGAGCCTCCCTACCCTCGAGCACATCAACACTCCCACCCAACTTGGGGTCATCTGCAAACTGACTGAGGGTGCACTTGATCCCCTCGTCTAGATCATCAATAAAGATGTTAAACAGGAGTGGCCCCAACACCGAGCCCTGGGGGACACCACTCGTGACCGGCCACCAGCTGGATTTAACTCCATTCACCACAACTCTCTGGACCCAGCTATCCAGACAGTTTTTTCCCCAGCAAAGCGTGTGCCCATCAAAGTCACGAGCAGCCAGTTTTGCCAGGAGAATGCTGTGGGAAATGGTGTCAAAGGCCTTGTTAAAGTCAAGGTAGACAATATCCACAGCCTTTCCCTCATCCAGTAAGCAGGTCGCCCTGTTGTAGAAGGAGATCAGGTTTGTCAGGCAGGACCTGCCTTTCATAACCCCATGCTGACTGGGCCTGAGCATCTGGTTGTCCCACATGTGCTGTGTGATGTTACTCAGGATGAGCTGCTCCATCAGCTTCCCGGGCACCGAGGTCAAGCTGACAGGCCTGTAATTTCCCAGATCATCCTTCCGATCCTTCTTATAGATGGGCGTCACATTGGCCAATTTCCAATCAGTCGGGACCTCCCCAGTCAGCCAGGACTGCTGGTAAATGATGGAAAGAGGCTTGGCGAGCACCCCAGCCAGCTCCTTCAGCACCCTTGGGTGTATCCCATCTGGTCCCATAGACTTGTGTGTGTCCGTGTGATGCAGCAGGTCACTGACTGTCTTCTCCTGGATTGTGGGGGGGTCGTTCTCCCAGTCTCTGTCTTCTGGCTGAGGAGGCTGGATTCCCTCAGTACAACTAGTCTTGTTATTAAAGACTGAGGCAAAGAAGGCATTAAGCACCTCAGCCTTTTCCTCATCACTTGTTACCATGTTTCCTTCTGCATCTAGCAGGGGATGGAAACTCTCCCTGGACTTTCTTTTGCTGTTACTTATAGAAACATTTCTTGTTGTCCTTGATTGCTGAAGCCAGAATAATTTCCAGCTGGGCTTTAGACCTCCTGATTTCCACCCTGCATAGCCTCACAGCCTCTTTGTAAACATTGCGAGTGGCTAACCCCTTCTTCCAAAGGCTGTAAACTCTCCTTTTCTCCCTGAGTTACAGTGAAAGCTCCCTGTTCAGCCAGGGTGGGCTTCTCTGCCGTCGGCTTCTCTTACAGCACCTGGGGACCACCTGCTCCTGTGACAATAAGACTTTCTTCTTAAAGAGTGCCCAGCCTTCCTGGACCCCTATACCCTTCAGGATCAGCTCCCAAGGGATCCTGTCAAGCAGGTGCCTAAACAAGACAAAGTCATCCCTTTGGAAGTCCACGATGTCAGTTCTGCTGTCCCATCTCCTGGCGTCTCTAAGAATAGAGAACTCTATTATTTCATGATCACTGTGCCCTTGCTGGCCTCCAACTGCCACATCCTCCACCAGTCCTTCTCTGTTCACAACGAGGAGATCCAGCAGGGCACCTTTTCTGGTGGGTTCATTCATCAGCTGCGTCAGGAAATTACCAGGAATCTCTGGGACTGGTCTCACTCTGCTGTGTTGTATTTGCAGCAGATGTCTGGGAAGTTAAAGTCTCCCACAAGAACAAGGGCAAGTGATCGTGAGATTTCACCTAAATGCTTACAGAATATTTCATCCACCTCTGTCCTGGGTGGGTGGCCTATCGTAGACTCCTACTACAACATCTGCCCTGTTGGTCTTCCCCCTGATTCTAACGCAAAGACACTCCACCCTGTCTTCACTACACCTGTGCTCGAAGCAATCATAACAGTCCCTAACATACAGCACCACCCCATCACCTCTCCTTCCTTGTCTATCCCTCCTAAAGAGCTTGTAGCCATCAATTGGCGCACTCCAGTCATGGGAGACATCCCACCATGTTTCTGTAATAGCCACCTCATCATAATTTTCCTGCTGCATCATGGCTTCAAGCTCCTGCTCTTTGTTACCCATGCTGTGTGCACTGGTATACATGCACTTCAGATGGGGTGATGTTTTGCCCCCTTCCCCCTTCAAATCTAGTTTAAAGCTCTGTCAGTGAGCCCAGATAAATCCTGCCCCAAGATTCTCTCCCCCCTCTGGGACAGGTGCATCCCATCTAATGCCAAGAGGTCTGGTGTCCTGTATATTAACCCATGATTGAAAAATCCAAAGCCCTGACAGTAACACTGGTCTTGGAGTCACAAGTTCATCTGTTGAGTTCTCCTGTATTCTTCATCAATCCCTGCAACTGAAAGGATGGAGAAGAACATATTTTGTGCCCCTGACCCCTTAATCAGTTTTCCCAAGGCCCTGAAATCTCTCTTAATTGATTTAAGACTTCTCCTGATAATATCGTCACTACCTACCTGAAAAACCAAGAGAGGGTAGCAGCCCTTGGGTCTCACTTAGAGTGGTGAGTTTTGCCATGAGGTCCTTGACCCAGGCCCCAGAGAGGCAGCAGACTTCCCTATGAAGCGGGTCTGGTCTGTATATGGGGCCTTCGACACCCCTCAGAATGGAGTCACCCACTAGAGTGACTCTTTAGGGGTTCTTTTTAGAACTGGTTTTAATACCTGGTCTAGAACGACCCACCCTTGGTGGACCTTGGTCTTCCTCCTTGTTTGACTTGCAATCCATTTGAATTTAAAAGGTTTGACACTGCAAATTTTACCAAAAGGGAAAACAAAAAAAAACTAAAAAACCCACAAAAAACCAAAACCAACAACAAAGGAAAAGGGGAAAAAGGTACACTAATGCACATGCAGAGTAAAGCTATGGGATCGGCAGGAACTCCTCCCAAACATAGGTTTGAAAACTCCTTGTCTTGACATCTGTTATGCTAGCATTTAAGAATTTCAGCTGGAAATAGGTCACCTAGGTGTCTGTCAAGTAAGAGATACCAGCTCCTGCTCAGAGGTTACATAGCACAGTGTCACAGAAGGTGCCCCTTCAGAATAAACACAGGCTGACACGTGGCTTTCAGACTGTGAAGTAACAACAAACCAAAGTTAAGCATAAAAGCTTCCTGCTTGGGTAATGAATGTCAAGTTTTTATAGAAAAGGCTTTTTTATTTCAAACACAAAGCTGGAAATTGTGAAATGGATATATCCTAAGAGCTGAAATGAATTGTTGGCTTTTCCTACCAAAGAAAATATATCAGGTTGGGAACTTATTTGCTATTTAAAATACATATTATGATTATGGATAAGAGCTTGGCACAATTACCTTGGAAATATTTAGGTCCAAAAAGTATTTACTTGTATTTTTTTTTCAAAAAAAGACTTATTTTGTGTCACAGATTTTTATTTACTTAAAATTTTTTGGTTTTCAGTTAGTGTTCCATGCAGTTCCCAACCTGTGGCTAACTTCAGATATTTCCAAGATGCTCTGCATAATGTTCTAATGCTTTTTCAGCAAAAGATGGGCACAAGTACAAGCACTGGGAAAAGTAATCACATTTAAAATAAATTAAATACAGGAGACCTGGGACTAACAGTGGAACCACAAAACATTACAAGCATACATCTAGAAACCCATTCTTCCTTTTTATTTAAATGTTAATTTACAGGGAATTTTTCTTCCATGGAATACCTTCAGTCTGAAAACAACAAATGAAGCTCGGCAATCATTAAACTAATCAATAATCATCAAACTAATAGTTTCATAGTAGAAATGGTTATTTCAGTACTGAGGAGCATTACTACTAAGGAACCCAACAGAATTCAATGATTAAATACCTCAGCAACTAAAATTCCTGAATTTTAATGAAGTTTTATTAACTCATATTTAGCAGTCATTACAAGCACACTCAATTTGCTCTGAGAAAGTTGGAATACTCTTTTGAAAAAAAAAATCTCTAAGCTAAATCCAACTTCCTAACATAATCACATTGAAATTCCGTAAAGATGAGAGAAGATAATTATAAAAGAACAGTAGTGTTACTGTGCATAAAAGTTTTTGCAAAGATCTGCTTACCTAAGCTACTGTTGTGGGAAATATCCTGTAATCCTAATTGTACGGAAAGGATACTTTTCAAGAGATATTCCTTCATTGTGCCGAGAGCTCTGCCTGCAGAAAGAGCATCAGTGCTTGAAAGTCTGGAATAAGCAAATATGCAATATGATAGACAGCATCATCTCCCACATTATCATTCGCACAATTTTTGCCTCTAGGGAAGTGAAAAACACAGGATGTGTTTTCACACAGAGGAACTGATTCCCACCAAAGCTGCAGAACTTCATTCCTATTACAATTTTTTTCATAACTACAGGCTTGTGCCAATAAAATTACACGTTAAATAGAACCAGTGTAAATATATTTGAAAGAAATGAAATTTAGTTTAATTTTAAATACATGTACAGTCACCACTACTACCAGCAGAAGACACTATGTTCAGACAGCAAGGCCTCCGCTCTCTAGCCATCATGAAAAAAAATCTTAGCAATTCACTTTCAGGCACATGTTATTTTCCTATTTACAGTTCAGAATGCTGTCTGGGTAAAGATAATAACCCTTGTGTTATCTGATATGATGGATCTATTAGAAGAGTATGAATATTAGAATAAATTTACAAAATAGCAACTATTCAATCAAATGGAAAATGACACCTTTTTAAAAACACATTTGAGAAAACAAAAGCAAAATCACAGCTAATGATGTTGGCCTTTATGTTGTGAATTTTGTTTAAGAGAATGTATAGTTAATTTGTACTACCTGAGTTAATGAGGCCTCAAATTTAATTTTCCTAAAACAAAACATACAAGAAAAAAGATACCGTAGACATTATCAAAACTTGTTCCCTTTTCCTTCCTTTTTTGGACAAAACCCCACAACTTTTAACTTTTTATCTGAAACATGAACATTGCTGTGCTAAGCACAGACTGGAAAAATCAACAGAATCATCTTTTTACCATTTAATTTTTTTCACACTGCTTTTGATAATACTTGCTTTAAGTGTATATGTTTTATGCGGAAAATGCTCCCTCTCTATGCTCTGTTTTCAACTTATATATCGGTGAAAAAATTGCAAATAGGAGTGATGGAAAAATCATTTCAAAATTGCCTATGCTGCAATTATCACTATGGCTTAACTATGCAACAGTGGAAACAGGAATGTCCAAGGAATTGTAATATCATTCTATGATTCTGATGTAAATAAATTCAAATTTTACAGCTTTTTCATAACAGGCTGTCATATTGGCACATTTATTTTTCAACTATATCTTACAGTACTTTTAGCACTGATATTGCAAACTGTTTTCCATAGGAACTGAGGGAACACTTCATAAGACACAGTATTTCAGATACATAAGAGCAGATTACTACTATTTAAGAAAGAAAAAAAGAGATACAGTCAAACATCAAGCAATATATCTGAGAAGTGGAAAAGGGCAAGTAGAAAACCACACTCTGCTAGACAAGTTAGCTTACTCTCTCAAGAAACACTGCAAATAAAGCTATATCTACAAAACCTTCAACGAATTTATACGGAATTTTATACATGCAACAGACGTGAGGCAAGCATAGTAACCACAGAAAAGCATGACGATACAAGACAGATCAAAAGCCACTTAACAGAAAGCGTAAAATAGAAAACCAAAAAAAAAGGTTGAGCTGCTGCTAAGTTTCAGCAATTAAATATAATACAGAATGGAAATTTCAGTGATGGAAGTTATCAATATGACCTAATTTTCCACTTTATTTTTTTTTTAATCATCTGCTAAGCAAAGAAATCAAAAACTTTCTTCAAAGCCCTTTAAATGACAGGCTAAATCAATTTTATGACTGAAAATAGGTACTTGGGTAAAATGGATTAGTAGTTACCTGTTATTTACCAGCAATTTCTTTCCTCAGATATCCTATGTGCTTTATTGTAATCACGTATTAATCTCAGAATGAGATTTTATGTACTCAAATCGAATTTCAACTTTGTTTTTAGAATAATGAAAGAGGCAACCTGCACGACATTATATACTGTCAGCTAAGAGTGAACCCTTCTGAGCAGAAACTGAAAAGCATATTCTGAGTAAGCTTTCTCAATGCTCAGGTTTATAAACAATTGGGCTAACAAGAGCCTTCAGGAAACATCAGCAAACTCCCTCCAAAACAAGCCTAAAAATAACTCTTAATACTACTGAGTTGGAAAATATTCACATATATTTGTAAAGTACTGTAATTAGAAATATTTGGTCCCTTGCCCAAAACAGTTTAAAAAAATTCCAGAATCATCTCCTTCAATGATACTTGCAAAGGCAGTTACATGCAACAGTTTTTTAATTAAGTTCAAAGGAATTAAATTATTAAAAAAAATAAAGAAAGAAAAAGGAGCAATATCTAAATACATTAAAAAAAAAAATCTGAAGCCAGAGAATAGTAACATAGCCAAGGTAAACTTCCAGCATGTTGGATAATACAACTTACATTCCACATGCAAAGAAAGCTTATCTACATCTTTTCCAAACCAAATTTCAACTGCGTTCTGATGCCTTTGTGATGTTTGCAAATGAAGATGCATGCTTAGATGACTATCCAAATTAAAGACATTAAATTAAACACATGTACAGCATTAGGAAATGCTGTAAGGAAACAAAAGGGCCAAAGACATGCCTTGCTACTGCAGTGAATGCCAGAAAGCACTTCACCTATGTGTATAGAAGTTCCTGGTTTAATACAGTGCTTCTGTCCACTTACCCAATTATAAGTGAAAATGTAAAATTGGACTATTTCATACTAAATTGTAGCTAAGTATGTTTAGAAACTCATTCTTTTTTGGCATGACTGGGAAAACAGGTCCCACAGAAAGACCTTATCCTGTATTTCAGACTATTGTCGAATCCTCAGAATCAGATGAGCCTCCACATCACTTCGTGCTGCAGTTAGAAGCCAGACAAAATCTGCACACTTGTGCTCACTCTCCCACCAAATATAGGACACTTTTCTGAGAAATGCAAAAAGCAGTGCTGGTCAATTCCTTTACTACCTTAGAAACTCTGAAGTGTATGATAGTATTACATGGTTCAGTCTAACAGCTTCATAATTTCTTCTGTTAACCTTATATTTGAAACAGGAAAATTGTTGACTATAGTGCACCATGCATGACAGCAAAACTTTCAGTAAAGCCTGATTCTATTTTCCACTCTTCTTCCTTGCCAAGGCATGGTCTAAAATTAGAGAGAAAGAAAAAAAAAAAAAAAAAAAAAAAAGAAAAAGTGGTTCATAGACAACCCACATGTCATATGATCAGTGTAAACTTTTCCAGGTGCTTAAAAGAAAATGAAGACTTACAACAGCACGTCTATAAAAAAGTGCAGTCTTATTCCACTGAAATCTTGACCTAGTTTCAACCAGGATGGAGTTAATTTTCATTGGAGTATTTCATACCATGTGATGTCATGGCCAGAGATACAGAGGGGCAGGCTTTCGCTTGGGCTGGGGTTCGGACTATTTGTCCTGTCAGGTGATGTTGTTGCTGTGGAGGGTGGTCGCCACACTTGACAAGCCACTGTTGCATTTTACCTGTTTCTTTATGGACTCACTATTGTTACTGTTGTTCTCCTGTTATATTTAGTAAATTCCTTTTATTCAACCTACATATTCTCTTATTTTTTTGTCCTTTCCCTATTTCACCAAGGAGCAGGGAGGTGAACAGCTGGCCACGTGGCATCTGACTAATGGCTGAGTTCAAATCTCAACAAAACAATCATAGTCTTATCTGGTTGGAGATCTTCCTACTCCCAATCAGGAGTCTAAGTACTGCCGGTTTTATTTAACTGGCAGTCTTTATTTAAAAGACTGCTGTGATTACCAGCCCCAAAATGCATCTCTCTGCATTATACAAGAGCTAGAAAGAGCAGCTGATCTATCTTAATGTGGCTTATCATGGACAACTGACTCTTCCTGTCAAACCTGACCATACATGGCCATTATAATGATGCAGGCTGGAAGAAAATCTGCTTGAGATGGCCTCACTGGACCTTCAGCAGGACCAGCTGAGCTCACCCCCACAGGTCACGGTCTGATCACAGAATTACAGAATCATTCAGGTTGGAAAAGACCCTTGGGATCATTGAGTCCAACCATCAGCCCGACTCAACAAAGTTCTCCCCTACACCATATCCCCCAACATCTCATCTAAATGACCCTTAAACACATCTAAGGATGTGTCCTTTAACATCCTTTCAGGCAGTTGTAGACAGTGATGAGGTCTCCCCTCAGCCTTCTCCTCCTCAAACTAAACAGTCCCAGCTCCTTCAATTGCTCCTCATCGGATTTATTCTCCAGGCCCTTCACCAGCTTTGTTTTCCTCCACTGCACTCGCTCCAGCACCTCAATATTGCTCTGGTATTGAGGTGCCCAAAACTGGACACAACACTCCAGGAGTGGCCTCACCAGTGCAGAGCACAGGGGGACTGTCACCTCCCTACTTCTGCTGGTCACACTATTTCTGACACAAGCCAGGATGCCGTTGGCTTTCTTGGCACCCGGGCACACTGCTGGCTCATGTTCAGCTGCTTGTCAATGAGAACCCCCAGATCCTTCTCTCCCAGACAGCTCCAGCCACACCTCCCCAAGCCTGTAGCCATGCAGGGGGTTGTTGTGGCCCAAGTGCAGGACCTGGCACTTGGCCTTGTTGAAGCTCATCCCGTTAACGTTGGCCCACTGATCCAATCTATCCAAGTCTCTCTGTAGAGCCTCCCTGTCCTCATGCAGATCCACACTCCCGCTTACCTTGGTGTCATCTGTGAACTCAGTGATGACACACTCTGTTTCCTTATCAAGATCATCAATAAAGATGTTAAACAGAAATGGTCCCATCACCAAGCCCCGAGGAACATCACTTGTGACCAGCTGCCGGCTGGATTTAAATCCAGTGACCACCACTCTCTGGGACCGTCCATCCAGGCAGTGCTTGACCCAGCAGACCGTGTGCTCATCCAGGCCATGGGCAGACAGTTTTTCTATGAGAATTCTATGGGGTACTGTGTCAAAGGCTTTTCAAAAATCCAGGTAGACAATATCCACAGCTTTTCCCTCATCCATTAGTCAGGTCATCTTGTCATAGTAGCAGATCAGGTTTGTCAGGCAGGACCTGCCTTTCATACCCCCATGCTGTCTGGGCCTGATCCCCTGGTTGTCCATTATATGACTTGTAGTGGCACTTGAGATGACCTGCTCCATGACCTTCCCTGGCACTGAGGTCAGACTGACAGGTCTGTAGTTCCCTGGATTCTCCTTTCTGCCTCTCTTGTAGATGGGTGTCACATTTGCCACCCTCCAGTCCCATGGGACCTCCCCAGTCAGCCATGACTTCAGGTAAATCATGGACAGCAGCTTGGCGAGCACATCTGCCAACTCTTTCAGCGCCCTTGGGTGTCACCCATCCGGTCCCACAGACCTGTGTGCATCCAGG